ACTGTACGCATGGACGCGAGGGTTGATCGTCACACAAGCCGCGTGTCAAATGCTGCTACGATCCGTTCAGAAGTCAGGAGCTGCTTTCAGCTCGCTCGTCGCAGCAGGAAATGATGTGCGGCGCCAATACAACCCCGATGCGACGCTCTTGTCGGAGGAGTGTTGGCGTAAGGCGAGCCTTGGCTTCTTCAAGCTGTGCGGGCGGCAGATCATGGAGTGCTGCAGCCTCTGCGGACCACATCCTCAGGTGCGTTTTGCAAATGCTCGATGTCCACGTCCGCAATCCGTGGAGGCAGTTGGTGCTTCCAACCACCAATGAGATTCTTAGGCACCTTTTGGCCATTGCTAACGTCATCGAGTGTGGGCCCATCTCAGGGTGGGCCCGTCTTGGCGTGTCCAAGTGTCCACGATCTGGCACCAGCTTTTGCCGGTCGCTTATTGCTGACGTCATCACAGCACGAGCCGGTCTCGGCGTGTCCAAATGTGCAAGCTCTGGCGCCAACTTTTTGCGGTCGTGCGTTGCTGACGTTATTAGAGCGTGGGCAACCAAGACATACAAAGTTCGCCCTTTCACAAACAGTGCGTCGTCTTCTTGCGTAGGTCCTTCTGTGCGACGGCATCGCGGGGCTTGCTTGCGCTGACGGCACGCGTCAGAAGGATGGGCTCGCTGGAACAGATGCCGCCTTGCTTCGGCCCTTCACGGCGCCTAGTCGGGGCTCTGATGGAGTCAACGTGCGAAAAGGAATGGAGGCCGGAAGCAATTACCTGGCGGCGTCTCTTGCGGGAGGGGGCCTGAAAAAGCGTCTCCTGCATCAACCCGAGCTCCGGACGCTTCTAGCGCGGTTCAGCGGACACCATGCTGCTGACCCGGAGCTGGGGAAGGCGCTAAGTACACGAGAGTACGAGGAGCTCCTGGTACGCCCGTTCTCTGCTTGCGGCAGGCCGGATGCTCGAGAGAGACCGGGCCACTGCCAGTCAAAAGGCGCCCCTCATTTTGTAGAGAGAAGGAGGGCCGTTCTGACTGCGGTGGCCGGGTGTACCTAAGGTTTTGCAAGAAAGGCCACATGCCAGCGCTCTGCTATGAGTTTGATCGAGTTGCAAGCATGGTCCTTTCCTCCCGCAACCTTTTTGGGGTTGTCATCGCGTTGCAACACATCCCTCTGGTAAACAGGTTCAGTCAAAAGTCGCCCATCATATTCTAGAAAGAATGGAGGCGACTTCTGACTGTAGTATTTCAGTTCGTTAGATCCGAAAGAAGGATACAGTGCTCATGCACGCTCGCTTCGAGCAGCTGACCTGATCTGGCGTCTTTGCGCAGGTCGCGCTTGCCAGGGACGATGTGCAAGTCGTCACAGACTTTGTCCAGGATCCAGATGATGCCGATGCAGATCCGGTGCTCTTGCACTGGCGCCGACAGATCCCGGCTCATCAGGTCGGCCAGATCCGATCGAAGAACAAAGCGGTGCTCGAGCTGCTCGTCGGCATCAAGGGAGAGGCGAGGCAAGACGACCCCGGCCAATGGCCCCCCCGCTGCCCTCACAGATGGGCGGAAGTGCTCTACACCCTTGGCGCGCCGTTCTCGGTCTCGGACGACTCAAATCTCATCCAGCATGGAAAGGCCTTGGGGGTGGTCCGTAAGCTGCTCCTCGGAGGAGCCGCGAACGACGACGACAGGGTCGTGCTGTCCGAGCATTCCCCAATCCTGCGCCGGCTGCTAGATCACTACGGCGACCGCTTCCACCGTTTTTTCCATCCCGCGCTACATCACCTGTACCGGTTGACGCTATTTGCGCGGGGAGCGATGGGGCTCGGGGTTAGGCGGGCGGGGTGGGCGTTGTCGGCCATCGAAGGCCTCGATGTCTGCGTCTGGCTGGAGCGGGAGCCAAAACCCCTGAGCTTCGAACAGCAGCAAGCCTTCGAA